CTTATGATAAAAGTGACTATATTTAGAGCGCCAATGAGCTACTAGCAGAACAGGACGAATCAGAACAGGAAGAAGACTGAAGTCAAAGCAAGCAATAACTGATCTACCGGTTTCGAACGTACCATTAACGGCTTAGAAGTTCTACACTGTATTTACAGTGTTCTTCCTTTGCGAAGAGCAAGTTCGAGATTTTTATGGATTCCAGCTAAATTGGACCCCCTTATTACAACGGCATCCCGTGACATATGGCGCTCACTATTCCGTTCTAATTTTTTGTCGCATCGTGTGCTCGATATGGCGTATTACCAGCTAAATTTTGGGACTTCCTCCACTTTGAATTCCTCAATCTGGCTTTCCTATTAGAGCTTCGATTTACAGAATGAGATTTTAGGATAATGAAAAAATTCTAGTCGTTTCCCATGTGTTGAATCCGTCGTACTATATACCATAATTAATGAGTATAAAAAAAGTGAAGTTGTCAGACAATCTATTTCCAACGTATAATTATGATACCTTTTAGAAAGCAATCGATTAAATCGATCTATATATTATAAACTTGAATAACAAAACTTAAAGTACCGTATGCAAAAAAGGAACTCTAATTACTTTTATAAAATTTAAAAGTCCCGTGTTGTATACAATGATTTTATATCGTAGTGACAAGAATTTTGTTTATATATCATATGATAATTAATCGGTGTTTAAATAATTATGCAGAGTGATTCCTGCTAAAAAATTTATAGGTCAATTTTAAGCAGAATTGTAAGACTTGTTACTTGTTCTTATAAAACTTGTAAGCGTATGTATCGTAAAACATATAGAATACTATTGTTAGTAAATATCTATGATTTCTTATAAATCTTATAGCTAGTGAAAAGCCGTCTGTAAAGATATTGTATAAAGATATAAGCAGTTAAAGTTCTTATAAGTTTTATGAGAATATATTACAAACCTTACGATTCTGTTTAAAATTTTAAAATTAATTCTCTCTTTCTCTCTCTCTCTCTCTCTCTCTCTCTCTCTCTTTCTTTCTTTCTCTTTCTCTCACTCTTTCTCTTTCAATTTATCTTTCATTATATATTTTAAAATTAATATAATACACATTCTGATAACTGCTATTGTTTCGATAGCAAAGAACTCGCTGCATTATATTATCGACTGTAATGTAAGATCAAGGGCACAAAAAGTTAGTCTATGTGTTATCAAAATCTCCCTTCTGCGTTGTTTTATAAATAACGCTGGTGATATCATCGTGCACATTATGCAAGGTGAGTTACACGTTGATAACCCCGATCATGGCATGAATATATATATCAGAGAGCAAAGTTTTTAATTTTAATAAGATCCATATAGATTAATGCCCATTTCTACCAATGTAGGTTAATTTTAATCTTGGTTGAACTAACTTTTCATCTAGATCTAAGAATTAGAAAAAGATGAATAGTAAGTTGTACAGAGACTAGAGTTATGATAGCTCTAACATAAATACTAATATAGATTAAAGTTAATCTGTATTAGTAAACGAACACAAGGTTGCCAATCGTCTGGTTTTGAACCGGATTATCAGGTATTCGGGAGTCAGATGTTTGACTGAAATCAAACCAGACGTCATATGTCCAGTTTTTAAATGTAGCCAATAAACAAAATAAAATTTACATCATATGAAAAGAAATTTATAAACAGAATTCAACGGATTTCAACAATGTTTCTCCATTTCAAATACCTAATACCATTAGCAGTCGAAACTGTTGAGAGTCACGAGAAGTCGTTTGCTAACATTTATGGCACTTTGCTAGTAAGCGCTTCAAATTAGGAGAATGACGTTTAAGAACCGGCAACTTTAATCAGAAACTCAAGCTTGATTTATTTTACAATGCAACGTAATTATTAAATAATCAGGAATTATATTTACACAGAATTTATTTATTTTTGCGTGCGTGTTGAAATTCTGATTTTAAAACTTTGGAAAATAATATTATATAATAAGTAATTTTTAATTAAATTTTATATTTAATCTAATTTTATAATTATTACTTCTGTCCAGTTTGTACAGTTAAATTATTCTACCAAAGAGAAAATATCTGCGGTTAATTTAAATCTGGCAACTCTACATATAAGAGATACTGAAATAAATAAGAAAATAAAGAAGATCTCCTGCAGAAGTTCAATTATATTAAATTCAATTTACTCTAATTTTATCTTAATTGTATATACTAATGTTACAATCCTGTGTATATAATAAAAAATTAAGGCAACAGTTTTGATGGTAATGTCAATCATACATGCGTAAGCAATATTTTCAACTTGAAAAGGAATATCGAACTAAAATATCTCAAGACGTATTTCTGTCAACCCTGCATAACCGGGTGCAAGATATTGGAGCTTACCGTTCGTAACGAAGTGTCGTACGTCTTTCTCGATCCTGACGAGACACAGACTTTGCTTTGACACTCATATGCTTTCTACCTTTAGCGTTATTTTCTCTTTCATTAGCCGTCAGTCAAATGAAAATATTGGTCGACCGATTATCCTCAGCAAACGATTTTTGATGTGATTTTTAATAAAGTAACTTTTGTCATTAAAATTAATTTTCAACAGAAGTATAATATTTGTACTTATAAATTTTATATTTTAATAAATAATTTATTAAAAAAGTTTTTTTAATTGAATTATTTTTATTAGATATTGATTTCATATGTACTCAGAGAGAAATATAATAATAATAACTGTATATATTATAATAATTATACAAGTTTTATATGTGGAATTAATATACATAGTTGAATAAACTATTTTATAGTTGCAATAACTAAATAGTTTATTTAACTATGTGTATTAAATATGTATGTTTATATTGTACAACTTTTAATTTTGAATATTTAATCAAGAATTTAAGTTTATACATGAACTGATAATGTTGGTTTTGATCAAGACATTTTTACTTCTGTGATTTATAAAACTTTAATATTGCCGTTACTTTTACACGCTTCATAGTTGTTATCACTCATGTTTCTTTCTGCAATAAATTTTATATTTATTACTTTAGTATTAAAAAGAAAAAAAGTATTATCGTTTATACTTAGAATGAATGATTCATAACGATCTTTGTACCTTGCCTGGATGCGGTATACTTAAGGAAAGAAACTCTAGAAAGATTGGTACACGTCATTGAAAATCGCGTAAACGGTATTAATGTAAATGTATTGGAATTCCAACAGCTGAGTCAGAAATCTCGTTGCATCTATATACATGTTAAGATATTTCAGCGAAAACGTGCAAAGTGTGCTGGTGAGATGGAAATCTTTCTGCAGCCACGATACCAGACGTTGTATATTTACGCCAACGCTGTATATCTTCGGCTTCGTTAAGGTGCCACTTGTTAGGCTCGATTCGATGTTTCCCTATCGATTCTCGGTCATCGCAAAACTTTACTGACAATTTCGAGGCAAATTTATATCAGTTTGTGTTTTTGTTTTATAAGAGCGTTAATAAATAAAAATGCGTTGAAAAGAACATTTACATTTTTGTGCTTGATCAAGAGATTCGATAGCTTTTGTCTTAAGGCGGAACTTGAATATTGCGAATCACTTCCTTTCGGTTGTGTAACGGTAAATCAGTCATCTACGATGTCTTCTTTTGAGGGATCTCCACGAAGTCCACAATAAGAGATGAAATATAATAATAACCTCAACGAATTCAGCTTACAATACGTGATTGCACCAGTACGCAACGAACGCCATTGTTGACATTGTAATAAGCGGATTGAGGGTATAATCCCACGATTGTCATCGAAACGTGTTTATTTCGCACGATTGAGACTCAACCGGATCTTATAGACTGGATTTCGTAACCCAGGTTCCTGTTTCCTGTAACGATTTCATGATTTATACGAAACTTCGGTAAAATTATTCTTCGGATGAATGTAGAAGCATGTTCGAATATACGTTCGTGTTGTTTGTGAGACATGTTTCGGATCAAAGGATTTTCGACAAAGTGATAAAAGCGTACAACTGACTCGTAAAATCTCACCGATGAAAACTCGTGTTTCGAGAGAAGACCCCTTTACGTGTAAACATATGTTCGTGACACCCAAGCTGGCATGCCGCTGATTTGTGACTTAGTGATACCTGACCATCTTTAATGCTGAAAATGTGAGAAGTTCTCCTTTTAATGCAAAGATGAGTGTTACTATTTATAAAAAATATTTTTAATAACAAAATAAATGATGTTTTTAACGAAGTTTATTAAAAAATATTGTTAACAATATTAATAGATAATAAATACAATAATATATTTATTATTAATAATATTTTTTAACAAAGCTTGTTAAAAGAATTATTTAAATAATATAAAGTACATATGGAAATTTTTCCAAACATAAAAAAATTAAATAAAATAATTAACAATAGCACATAATAGGTTTCATATCCAATAAATATAATAAAACTATTTATTTAAATAAATGAACAATTTTATGGATTTTTTTCTACATGTTAACATCTTTTCAGTCTTTATTTATATATTCTAGCAGTTTTATATGAAATTACATCTGTTATTCTAAATCCGCATAGATTCGGTAAGCGGATATTAATACAGACGTTAACATATGCGTGCGCGCAGTGGCATCTGCGAACGGGGTGATCTGGTGTCTGGTTTATTTTCAGTGTGCGCATCCCCATATAACCAGTCATATCGGAGGGGTTGATAGCGTTTTATGCCGCGCGCGTGGCCAACATATCTCTGAGTTAATTATGGACTGATTGTTAAGGCCCGCATTTTTTTACTAACTGTACCGCCAAAACAGGACGTCGCCTTCCGGAGCTACTAAATTTAGCTTATAACCATAAGAATTGCTTCTTACCCCTTTTATGGTATATTTTTCAACAAGAACGAGACACATTAACGAGCGAGATATTTTTAAGAAAGAAAGCTCTATATAAAATAATTTATTATTGATATTAATATTTATATTGATGGAAAATCTTCAATCTTGTTTGCAGACCACCATTAAAGTCTACGCCAACTGCCTGCGACCGGACATCGAATATAAGACCCTAAGCATCACCTATGAGACGACTTGTCGCGAAGTCGTACAAAACCTTCTGAACAAGTATCGCATGAGACATCGCGACCCCCGGTTGTTTTATCTGACCATGGAGGTGACCGTGAGGAGGGCCAATGTGCGTACCATCCTGCCCCTTGACGAGGACGCGAGGCCAGCCGTCCTGCAATCCTGCCATCCTCGTGGCGATTCCAAGTACGTTCCTTGTCTGCCTTTGTACTTGACCACCGGCCCTTTCGGTTTCGGTCGGCTTCGTGACGTAATTTCAGGGCTCGCGACTATAAACACATTCCATCGGCCGCCAAGCACGAGTTAACAATGGTTCGACGTCCTCCGCGTTGCTCACTGATATAACACTTGGACACAAAACTTGGTCGCGTGGGTCGCTGTAAATCCTTGATATACGGTTCGCAAGGAATGTAAATATGGGGTTGTTCGATTACGAGACAAAATGGAATTTATGGAATTTTGACAGCGGTTGTAAATGTTATAGATCGTCGTGTAGAAACGCGGGAGTTTTTGAGATTCCACGCACGCAGAGTGCGCATCATAATGCAGAAGTTGCAACATGATACGGCATTATATACTGTGCATGAGAAATATTATCGCTATGCACTTATATAAAAAGAATGTTTGAATGTAACTCTTTGATGATTAGAACGGTTTATTTGCGAAGGAATCTCGACGCGACCGATGTTTTCTCGGCAGTCTGAGACTTCCGGCGCGACTAACGCGTAATAGAACAGGACGAGAGCGTTTGTCTCCAGACGTAAACCGGTGCTTTTATATAGAAATAACGCTCGGTCTGGTGTCCTTTGAACTCACCGACTCCTGCCGTTGTCATAGAATCTCTGCATAAACTTATATATGCCTCCTCTTTGTTTGCAGGTTTTCGTTGCAGACACACCGTGGCGGACTTGTCAAAATATACGACAGCGCACTCATGTCCGGGGTAAATAAATATTTACTCTTATACGAACAAAAAAGAAACGTAACAGTCGTTTTAATATTAATAAACTAACCCCCGTATTCATAGTCAGACCTTATACTTAAGGCTTCCTTAAATTTATCTTCAGATGATTTACGAATTATTTTATTGGCTACTGAGTATCTAAAGATAAATTTAAGGAAGCCTTAAGTATAAGGTCTGACTATGAATACGGGGGTAAGTTTTATAATATAAAATGTTATATTTATTATATAAGAACAATTTTTATAAAAAAAACTTTTAATTTATAATTAAATAGCTTTGCAATATAAATCTTCTATTCTAGAAACGCTAACTAGTCTGAAAATAAAAATTATATTTAAGTAATATACAATTACTTATATACGTAAATTACTTTTCGCATAATACAATGTCTATTTTAAAAACTAATAGTTCCACTTCTAAAAGTAATATTTAAGTTTTTTTCAAAGTATTTAGAGCGGTAAAATTGTTACTTAAATAGGGGCTTCAGTTTGTATTGCAGTAATTGTGAGTAAACTCGGTTTATTGTTCGCAGTCTAAGTACAAAAGCCTTCTGGTCTCGGAGCAGACCACCGTAGACGAGTTGATCCAAATGCTGCTAAGCTGCTATAGCTCCAAGGAACCGGTGGAGCAATTCTCTCTCTACGAGGTCTGTGAAGGTGAAGAGTACCAAAGGAAATTACACCCCGACGATTCTCCGCTCAAGGTCACGCAACGATGGACCACCGCGGATCGGCATCTTCGCATTAGACGTAATCCAGATTATAATCAACACAGGCGAAAGGTAATAGATAGTAAATTCATTAAATTAATAATTAATGCACTTAAAAAAATACTTGTTTAAATATAATCAGGTTAATTTCTGATATTTAAATTGGAAATTATATTCGCGAAAGAATGTACTATAATTCATTATTTATAATGCTTTGTCATATAAGTTGTCTCATACAGTGAGTCAGCTTCTCTGTAGTCAATCTCTAAGGAGCAGAGAGTTCAAGATATTGCATTTTCAGACAAAGAAATTATAATCGTAAAATCCAATCCGTGTAATTATATTACTAGCTGTCATCAGAATTATTCATAAGTGCTTAATAGAAAGTCAAATCTGTTACATAATCCGACGTCATTTCAGAGTATGTGGGCGTCGGACTCAAGCATCACCATGGCGATGTCGAGGCTGAATCTCCACGATAGTCTTCCTATCCATTACAATTCGAGAATTGAAAACAACAACCACTTGAGCCTACATCATCTCGCCAGAAAAACCAGCGTGACCGCAAATATTAACAACAACAATAACGTTATTCATCGGGATCAACATCACTCATCGTCGTTAGGTTCCATCAGTCAAACGTCACGAATAGTCGTATCCCACGGAACGGATCTTCCGCAAGTACAGCTGCCGCGATTACAGCAATTTCCGCAGAGCGTACCGTCGACGCCGCTCTCAACAAAACACGTGACTGCCTCTTCCTATGCCGATTACGAGAATTATCTTTTTATATAAAAAATCGTTGATAAGCGTAAACACGATAGAAGTTGAAAGAAACTGCGTCGAAAACGGTCAGAGTTACCAGAAACTCGTTGAAGATACGAGAAACATATACGCATATCGCAACTGTTCAATAGCATTTGTCTTCGTGTAACATTTAGACGTCAAATACTATGAGCATTATGAGGCGCGAGCAAACGTGTACCTTTGATTTTTATTTAAAAAGGTAGTTTGCCTTCTTTCGTTGCAGATGTAAATTTAAATTATCGTTGCTTTTAATCATTTTGATTAATTTTGCTATAATAGATTGATGAAATTCAGTCAATATCAAAACATATATGATAATTTTTGGTGGCTATTGTATGATATTTAATTAATGTTTCAATGAATAGAAATTTTCTAAAATTTTAACAGAAAGGGATTAAATTGCAATGTTTAAATGCTCGTTTGCCGCTTGTATTTCAGCTAATTAAAGGCTGATAACACCGAACAAAGAGAATTTACGATATTAGTTAGTAGTGAGGGAAATTGTACCAAAGGTAGACGTATAAAATTTTAGATACGTAGTATATATACATATAGTATATATAAATATAAATAATATGTTCTTTCGCATTTATGGAAGTGTGTAGAGTTTATCAAGCCCGAAATAAGATTTTGATAATTTTTATAAAGATTTGTTTTATGTTCAAAAAAGAAATATCAAGTCGATACCTCGATAATAAATTGTTTTATATATTTTTTGTAATATTAATCGATAGATAACGTTAAACAAAATCGTGTTTGCATAGCGAAAATAAGACTCGTTCAGGTGGAGCGATTTAAGATGCGCAAAAGATGATTAATAAGGAAAGAAATATTATTATTTATTTATGTAATGTAAAAAGTATGTAAACAGCATTTAGTTAAGCTCATTTAAAATCTGTTTTAAATTATGAATACTCTTACCTACCCAAAATTTCGTGCAATCCAGCTAGAATACTGGACATATATTTCCTACACGTAAACGGGAAATATTTAAGTAACATTCGCCGTTATATCATGTTAATTTGAATACCGCAAGAAATTGTAACAATCACTTTCAATGATATAGGTATATATTTATCGTTCGTATTGCAATGATTACAGAAATGTAATTTGCAATACGTCAAACAAATTGGCTTACGATTATAAACACATTTCCTCGTTATCGCAAAGGCAAACAATTTTATCGCTTTGAATTAACATCTAAAATTGTTCGAAAAGCTTTATTAAAAGTTACGTGATAATGGTGATTCACGTGACTTCATTGTTTCCATATACAGAGGAAATGAATGAAGATTAAGCTGTATCTTTTTTTATCGCAGTGCATTTAATATTTTATTACCAAAGAGTTTCTCGGTACGATACGTATATAAAAGCATAGAGTAACACACGCGTGTGTCGAATACGGCAGCCGAATGTGCATTTATCCACAGGAGTCTTTGATATGTATGTCGTCAGCATAGCAATGTGTGTCGATAGGATATAACTTCATGTCACTTATGTGTCGAATTAATGTACCTATGTAAATGTAAATATCTTTTTGTATTGTCCGTTTATATTTTACAGGAGAGAATACGAATAATGATTCATGTGTCCTAAATTATTCTCTATTTTTTTATTTTGCCCGAATATACATCCAATCGAATAGCCCAATTTAAAGATGTAAGAAAGATCAGCTCTATTTTTTGGCGAATTTAAATTTTTCAAGTGGATTTAACGTATTAAACAATTAAACATTCAGCGTTTTTTGGTGTAAGAAACAAATAGCGATATTAATTACCGCGATTTGCCATCTCTGATACTCAAATCGACCCCTATTAACCTGAGCTTACACCTTTAGTTTGTCTGCACTTTGCTTACTTCATAAGAATAAATCCCCTCTTTAATTCTATCAATATGGAATATCTTTGTTTATTATTTTTTATCGATAATTATTTGCGTGCTTAGAGGCAAATGACTAATTCTTGTAAATAGAGTATCTCAATAAAATTACCTATTTAAAAAAAGGAAAAAGAGGTGCCAAGTTTGCCTCATAAAAAATCGTTACATATATTATTACATATATTATTACAGTATACAAAAAATGAAATGAAATCTTTAAATTGCGCTAATTGTTCCAAGTTTTTTGTACTTTTTAAAATAAAATATATGTTGTATATGTTGCAAGAAAATATATTTCTTTTACAATTGGCGCAATTTGAAGATTTTATTTAATTTTTTGTATGCTGTTATAATATATGTAACGTTTTTTTGTGAGGGGAATACGCACTTGGCGCCTTTTTCCCCTTTTCTTAGAAAGGTAATTTTGTTGAGAGAGAGAAAGAGAGAGAGAGAGAGAGAGAGAGAGTATGATCTACAATAAATAATTACACTACTTTCCTTTTCTGAGGTAAGAGTTTTTGTCTATTATTGTGCATGAAAAATTTTTATTCATTATTATTTTTGAACTATTTGCCTATATATCACATCATCAAAATACTTCTCTGTCGATGAAAAATAATTTAGGGAGAATACAAATTGTCTCAGTGTTATGTGACGATAAAAATTTTTATTTACAAATGCGACAGATGTAGGAATTCGGGTACCAGTAACGTGCGGGAGAGAATTGATCGGCCATCCACTGCGATGATTTTTAAAATATGCTTTTTTGCATTCCTCGTATTTGCTTTCGTTTTTTGTCTCTCCAAAACATCACTGTGACAAAGGAAAGAATCACTGAGATGTAACAATAATAATCTTTACATTAAGTACGATTAAAATCTAGCTATTTTAAGGGCTACGTGGAATTACAATTATAGAAATATTTGGTATCTCACGGTTCCTCCTGTTTTGCAGGACCTCAGGGATTCAGGGAAGAGGGATCGGTACGTAGGTGGGGCGTGTCAGGGGGCTGGGAATATAGCTTTTTTCTTGTTTAAAGATCAGAGGATAACATCACAGCATTGACATATCAACATCGAAACGGTCAAAGCAGCTCGTTCCTTGAAAATCACCGAAACGTTTGACGAGCTTCTACTCGCTTAAAGATGTTTAAAAATCGATATTTTAACAGGAAGAGAGATGTCCTCGTCTGCGTTTTTATACTAGGACTCTCGAGGAGCGCGTTGCAATAGCCGTAGCGCTTTTCACATTTTTGCTATAAAACAATTTACAACATCTCGTTAAATAAACATCTCAATTCCATCTCCGAACAACTACACGCACTATACGCAAGCCATATTCTCTCATTTGCTCGTTCGCTCGCTCACTCACGCACTCTTTCTCTTCTTTTCTTAATCCACTATACATTCTTACGATCGATATAATTAGATGTACAATTGAATAATATGTGACACGATTCAACGCAATAGTTTACAAATATTTTATATTTCTATTTCTCTCTTTCTCTCATTCTCTCTCGCTTTCTTCATTATCGGTGCAACAATAGTGAAATAAAGTTCTCTTCTTAAGAAAAACGGATGGATCGCGGGTGGATCACGTGGAGCATTCTACCACGTGCTAAAACATTTGCGCGTTCATTAGTGGGCGACGCTGATTGCGCATTTGTGTGACAATAATATAGATAATATACAGAGAAAATCTTTGATCCGACGAACCAGCCACAAAAGGGAATTATCGAGGACGCTCGCGCGTGCACGAAGTTTATCATTTCTTTGACGATTCCTACACACGCGACAGAATTGCATCTAATCCTCGTACAAACGTTAATCGACCCGAATTGACGTCTCTCTCGCGATACATGCGTGTGAAAGGTGTTATTTGAATTCTTTAACAATATGTACTAGCGTTTACAAAGAAGCTACATGCTTTCGCGTTATTAATATTTATTTTAAAATCATTTTCTGTTTTTTAAACAACTATTAATTAAGGACATATATTTATAAAAAAGCTATACTTCATTCTTTAAGTACTCATAACAAGCTACAGATTAATAACATCTAAATATAGATTACTCTTCGTAATACGTTAATTAATTAGAAAATTTTGAATTATCATATGCTTAATAAAATTTGCTACCTTAATTTATATTTACTTAAGAATAAAAAGCACATCCATTCGGGTCGATGTATAACGCCGTAGCAGTCTTACACCGCATTTCCTCTTTTCGCTATATAGATATACTTTCGAAACCGCATTATACCATCAACAATATTATGCCGTAAGCCTCGATACAAGGATAGAACATTTCATAGTATTTTAATCATACTGAGAGGATTTGCATTAGCCAAATGTTTCTCTCGCTTTAATGCGAGAGTACCTGAGGCCTGTGCTCAATTCTCACTTGGACCTTCCAACCATATAGGGTTACATTCAGTAAACACGTCGATGGGACGAACGAGGGAAATCGTCGTCGACGACTCGGCGTATTAATAGCATTGCAAGTTATAAAGTGACCAATAAAAATCCATAACGTTTACGGCAACGACATTCCACATGCATTGATTACAAGTTCTTCTTAAAATACACTTGAAAAAATCTACGATCTCACATAATAGATTTTCTTATCGCAAATTGTAATTGTAACTAGAAATATTCTATAAATACGCGCTATGGAGTTGATCAAATAATTACTAAGCATTAAATAAATAATTATCCTAGCATGTAATCTATCAACAAAAATGATTTGTCGTCCCGAAGAGGTCTCTCGATCGTTCCCGCAATCCATCGTTACGACAGTCACAGTGATCGTCGTCGACGATTCCGCCACGATGAATCCGTTAAAATTTTACATCCCTGCGCACATTGTATAAAATCAAAGTAGATCCGCGAATAGCTTCGAGATTTTCGATCTGATTGCATTCGAAGCTAAAAGAGATCTCTTAACTCCATCTTAATTACAAATCCGCGTGCACACGGTGCGATAAAATACTTAGTGGTACAAGCAATCATCGTTTAATTAATTATCAATTACGGATCAAACAACATCAATCAATCGTTAAACTCGCTTTTCGTTCCAACAAATAAATATTTGGATCCTTAACTTTGCGAGCGAACGCATCGATCGCGTGAGAGCGACTAAGAGCATCCGTTGATGAGACAATACCGTAACCAACTAACTAAGCGAATGATTATTATTACATGCACACAGTGCGAGCCAACAAACCAAATCCCACACAATTATCAGGTCAGTTCGCGCCCTACACGCGCACAATTCGTACAACAAATAGAGTAAACTTATTTAAATCGTCCCTGTATATAAATCGTTTATGGTAATTTCGATTTAAAAATGTTTACAACGCTTGGTGATATAAATTGTAAACAATAATTGATATAAAATGTTAACTACTTCCAGATAGCACATAAACATTCTATGAATGTTCATTAGGAATATTCGTATGAAATTCAAAACAAAATATTGTCAAATATTCTTGATATGCTCATAGTATACTCATATTAAATGGCAAAATTATAAATGTATAATCTAAAAAATATAATCTACGATCATAAATAGAATATTTTGTACAATATTTTATAGAATATTTTACGAATTTTTATATTCTACGAATATTCTAAGGAACATTCTATAAATGCTCTTTTTGAAATAAATATAAATATCTAAATAGAATATTTTTATGTATATTTATAGAACATTTGATTCAAATATTCCAAAATCAAGAACATTTGTATTTTATAAGAATATTTATAGAATATTTTATGCTATCTCTTGGTTATTTCTATTTTATATCATCCAGGGCGTTATAAATATCTTTAAATAAGAATAATATCTATGATACGATTTAGGCACAAGTACAATTTAAGCAAGTTTATCATACAATATCAAAGATTCATAGGCTATTCATAGCGTATTCCAGCCTTCGTCTCTTTCATCTAACGTCGATACTCGTAGAATCATTTTAGTCTTCAGAAAATTGGTATGTTCCCAATTCGACTTTCAGTGTTTCGCCTCGCCTATGATCATCTTCAATCAAAGCTTCTTATCTAATGTTTATAGGCGACGCAGGATTCTTTATATGTAAATGTACAAGTCATTTAATCAAGTCGTCAAATCTTGAAAAAATTAATTTGAAAAGTACAGCGAAAGAGAGTACATTCTCTGAATAAATTATGCGCACAATGACATAATTATCATGATATAAATTTAACACTAAAACATTTCTGTTTAATTCAAATGAAAAATAAAAAAGATATTTAAATTTTATTTTATTTATACAACACATATAACTTCATACAGACAACAATTTAAGAATTTCATCAAAGTTCTACGACGAATTCTGTTTATTTCAAAATTCGACGACGTGATTTGTCTTTCGCTGGAGGTTTTGAGTCAATCATGTAGTTATACGCGGAAACTACGAGCGTCGATCTAAGCACTTGTGATCGAAGAATGTACGTATTTTTAGGATCGTTTCCATCAAGCTACATACTGAATTCTCGGTGCTACTTGAGCGTTACATATATTTATGAAGTATTATCAACGATGTGGAAAGTAACGAATGAATCGAAGCAGCTAAGTCTTAAACTTAAATCAAATATTTTTGCTACAGATGCATTTCCTCTAGAGGAACGTTTCCGTATATGCAAATGCGTATATGTATGTATGTATGTATGTATGTATGTATATGAGTTAATATATTTATGGTGTAAATTTTCATCGCTGCTTATATCCTGAGGAGTTACAAAATATTATAAAAATTTTCATCTTGATAATTAAAAAATATCTATGACATATTACATCTTGTGTGCACAACTATAGCTATATAGTTCACTTTACTCGGGCTTCCGATCCACAAACAAATTGAATCAATTAATGGAATGATGTTCTCAATCTGCAGAAAACCGCTTTACAAAGAAAAAAATCTTGTAATATGTATAAATTGATTTTATCATATTAAACTCTTCTGAAGAATGTGGAATCTATTTCATCCAAAATGCTTTTATTTCCTGCAAAATATCATACTATAATCATTGTAAAACAAATTAAATTAACAGTAAAAGAGTAGGGAATAAAAATATACAAAGTAAATTGCCAAAAATATAATCGCTAAATTTTAACAATAAATAAACAATGTATTTACATCATATTAATAACTGTATTCCTGTCTGGAACAAGTACAAATATCTGAAAATTTTGTTTTTCACTAAACCACTATTTATAAGCACATTTAAAAGTTAATCAAGCGAATTTTTCTATATCCAGAATATTCGTGTACTTGCATTTCCTCGGGATGATCTCGTTTAATTTATAGGAAATAAACTGTTGGAAGCAAAAACCAGTGTGAATTTTTTATATATAGATTCACAGCAATTATGACGAAACGTATTTACCTAATATGTACAAATCTAGGCTGCAAAAGAATTTCGTGGTTAATCGTCTCGAAATATATTTTGCATTCACAAATTCGTTTTGTGATAGCGTTGAAGTATGTTACGAAAACTTCACATCGAGAAGATTCAGCGATGACTTTATACTTTAATTGTTAAAGAACCGGAACTTCTGTTGTTCTTGACTTTCTTATTTAAACGCTCGACGTTAGATATTAAAGATTTGTAATTCTTTTTACAAAATTTCTTCCTAAGATAAAATTTACATTCTCAACACTCTGATAAGCGATATTGGCGCGATAACTCCTGTCGGCACCAAATCTCATGCGAAGCTTCGAGATGCTTCAAAGAGGCAAATATATCATATATATACATATATCCGTATAAATATATATCTATCTAAGATTTAAGTATTATTAAAAAAGATGAACGAGACGTAGCACGTAATTGTAGCGTGCGCAAATCAATTATGTTTCATGTCTTTCAGTAGATATCTTTCAATAGATATCTTAATTGGTATCAATCAACTGCAACAAGATGTTACGTAATGCTATAGATATTTCTCGACAAAATTAAATTTTTTGTATTAGTAGTTTGCAAAATAATGTCTTAATTAATTCAATTACAATTCAATGCTTTTTTTCTTTCTTCGGCAAAGATAAGACCCGTGTTCACATTTCACTTTTATCAATAAATGCGCGCACTTAATATACATATATATATATATGTATAATTTATGTTATATATACTATAGAATCCCAGAAATAAATATGTGCATTTATTGACAAATATAAGGTAAATATGGATAAAGTTTTATAAAATTCAAATGTAAGATTAAAGAAAAATTGTATCACCTTTTCCTTCAAAACATTTTGTTTATAAGTTAATAAAAAATATGCAAAAAATTGATACCAATTAAGAATAAGTTTTATATTATTATTAAATCACAAAACAGTTTTCAAAATGCTATTTTGTGCCGATAATGCCATGTAACATTTAAATAGCAAACAACGTGTAAAGTAACTATGCAATATTCAAATTACAATTCGACATTTCGCAGTTTTCATAAATATATCAATTGCAAGAAATGTGTCCAATGTACTTATGCGTTTTAAATTGCGACGACTAGAATGAAACAAGCATAAATAAATAATATGCGTATTTTTTGAACAATTCTGATTCTTACACAAATAAAGAACGACTAATTGTTACTCGATTCTCGGAAGAATATATATAAAAATCAATTCAAGATTACCCGCGCCTAGTTTATACTAATTTATACAGCAACATATACAATATCGCTACTCAAAAGTGTATGCACCGCCGCGTATAATATATAGGAAAAGTTCCTGATTAATTATCTTAAATAATGACCTATGCCGATGATCTATTCCGAGCTATATTTTGGCTGCGAGAACGCCTTAAGATGTTTGTACGTTTTATTTGCGTCAAGTGTTATTTTTACTTTTCTGAAAATATAGTTTAATCATATCGTCCTAGACAGGAAATGTTTCGCATATATGTGCCAGCAAAATGGATCGATCTCTTCCTATTTTTTGTCATTATCGATCGGATCGTTTCCACAGATTGGAATCAACAAGATATACGCAATGAGCAATATCACGTAATAAGAGCTTCGTGATACAATAAATATTCTTTGTAAAAAACAAATTAAATATTTAATTAGCAGTATTTCTCAGATGTGCAACGTATCGACGCTGCGTGAATGAAAACTTGAACGGTAATTGTTAAAGGTTTCTTATAATATTTACATAACGTCATAGATGCAAAATGTGAATAAAAGTACAGAATATTTATCACATGAAATTCAAATTATGATTTAGATTTTCAGAATTATTTCAACTAAATGTTTTTTCAGAAGCAAATCAAATATTTTGTGAACTAAAATAGTGTGTATCAAGTCGATAGTGTGTCAAGAGCGAAACATGAGATTCTCATGTAACATATATATTGAAAAATATAATTATATATTTTAAATTATATTCATTTCTCAGTCTATAATTATCTTTAGAAAAGCCAAGTAGATTTTATTCACATCTCTGCTAAACATCTTATTTAACCTTCTTTTATCTTAATTAAAATTTGTCACAAGTGATACGGATGGAATTGTCACTTGTGTATACAATTAACATGTATATATTATTATGTATGTATTAACATGTACACAAATCGTTTTCATTGATGTGCAATGTATGTATGTGTATTACGTATACTTTCGCATAGCTTTAGCAAAATGTATAAACGCATCATAAAGCGACGCACTAAGTCGTTGACGCGCGTAATCAAAATCGAAAACTTTCGTAATATCAGCGCACCAATAACTTCTCCTAATTTCAAACCTGTTGTCTTGCAAATCAAAAACAACGCCAGAAAATTTTTGCTTCTACATTAGTTTGTCTAATTTGATAGTAAGTGTCACTACGTCGATCGTTAAAATCGCTTCAGCTACGTCTGCCGCCGCGATCGACGATGGGTTTCAATTTCCACGATCAAATTCACAATTCATTACTCCGAGCTGTGTTCATCGCAAATCGCTTTTCAGCGATCATAAAATTACGGTAACTACATTGGCGCTATCACGATCGACGATCAAATTAATATATCTATAATCAGCTGTGTGAAATTTTATTAAAGCTTTTTTTTTATCTTAATTATTAACTGATTTACCTATTAATAAAATTAGCTGTCCGATCGATCATAGATTATTTCTCTAGATAATCATTAATTTTCTTCAATTGGAATTATAATGGTCATTATCATTTCTTAGAATTAAATTCTATGAGAGAAGTCAGATCTCTGTTTCATAAGAAATACTCGGTACCGCGTCGATCGTCGATCGCCGATTCGACATAAAGACTTGGTTTTGGGGCCCGGGAGGAGTTGGTGCAAGGATTAAGGCCCCAGGGCTCTTTTTACTCTATTTCGAGAGTCACTTTCTATCTTGGTCTCCTCGTCCCACGCGATTGTCTCGCGCGTCTACTAGTGTTGTTGAGCTGATTCCGCGAATGAGGAATTTGTCCTGCTTATACTGCGATGGACAAGGACACCGGAAGATTACTTCGAATCGGCTAGAACTCCTGTTAAGATAATCGTCTGTTTAAACGATCGTTAAACTACGCTCGAACCCTTAACTATTAGCGATAAAAACTCGCTAATTGGAAAATCGCACGTAAATATTAAAAGAAATTCATCCTTATCGTAATAATTTTAGTTTGGCAAATAATTTGTGTTCATAAAGAGTCCATCGAAGATGTAGAGTGTGTAGAATATGTGTATATATGTGTACGAAGATTTTTGATTAAAAATAATTGATTGGAATTTACATTTGCAAAATTCTTTGATTAAAAACAATTTTAAATTATGTAAAGATTATTAGAATGAGATCGAAATTGTTCAAAAATTTTTCGAGTTATTTCTTCCTAATCGCATGTGAAACTTTTGAAAAAGGTTCGAGAATAAGTTTTGTAACATTTCATATGAAAAATGTATAGTGTCGATTTGGTTGAATATGTGAACGACTTTGAGTAGCATATTTTAACGAGTACCGAATGCAGTCAAATGTGTGTATTTTCTTTTATAGTATTATTCCATAATATTATCTTCCTTTCGTATAAAGTAGCATAAAAGATGTTATGTACGATCATGTGCATCTCAAAACGATGCGTGCATTTTGTCGTGGCCAGTAATTATTACGGTGAGCATTTGATACATTTGGCATAGTACGCTTAATTGTTATAATGAGCGGTTGACATGTTCCCTCTACATAACACACAGCAGAGCCCTTAAGCATACATCATCAGGTAAATACAACTTGATGGTATTTGTGCGTGAGAATAGTTTGGTAGTTGGTATGATCAATGAGTAGCAAAACTCTGCAATTGTGAATGACATCGCCAGAGTGATACACGTTCGTGATATTGATCGGAGCATTAATTGGCGAAGACGCGACGTATAAAGATGAATATATGTTTCTATAAATAGATAAATATGTGCGAATTGTGAAATTTGTAATGTGCTAATGGAATTCGTCTAGCAATAACAGCGGTTTTGCTTTCGATTCTTTGCAGTTTGACGACAAGCAATTTAGATCGAAATGAACATATTTTGATAAAACGTGCATGCTACTGATGATCAATACTTTATCAGAAGAAGAAGAAGAAGAAGAAAAAGAGAAGTAGAAGAAGTTTTATGGTGAAAACCGTCTTTGTTGTTCATTATTAATAAAGTATAATTATACAGTTAAGTTAATCGCGAACGTTATTGAAGTATTCAGCAGTGTAAAAAAAGAATAATAGCAGCATATAATATAAATGTGTATCATTATAAACGTAAGAGTTTTCGGAAGATAATAATACATGTTTAAAGCATACCAGAAACTTTTCCAACAGTTACGTCGCAACTGAATCGTATTCTCTAATTAATAAGTAGCAATAAAATCTTACATTTCAATTTATATTCTTTTGTTGGCAGCGCGAATAAGAATGCAAGCGCAAATTGTTTTCCGGAATTAACGTGCACGCTGCTGGCGAGTGGTAGCGTATTTGAAGTTCCTCAGAAGGGTAGTGGGCGTCGACACGAAAATCTGGCTGAAAGTTGCATCTGATGCCGATCGCTGGCGTAGAGTAACGCGACAGGAAACAGCCCCACTAACAGAGCGCAGCGATCTTATCGCGAGGTAGCGTTGCGCACTTCCTAGCGTTCGGTAGCGTTACCGGGAGGCGAGCCCGCTAAAGGGCGGTGGTGCGCAGATGGGGACAGCGCTGAAGCGACAGGCCCCGGGGCCCCAGCTCCTAAATAGCATTAAGACTCGAGTCGTGCTGTTTGCGACGTCTTAAAGTACTGCCATAATCGATGCTATGTTCTTCTTCGCCATACTCGTGATCCACGCGTTCGCTACGATCCATCCGATCCATTCGTGATCTCCTCGCTGACTCATCTCTGGCTCCTGAATTAGAAACAGAGAAAGATTAGATTGTGCAATTTATAAAGCAATCTCCACACGTCTTGTTCAAGCAAATTTGTGATTTTTGCAAATTTTATGTATCCTGATTGTTTTCTTAAAAAAAAACCGGACTCACTAATAGTAATGACTGAGAAATAATATAATCGCCGATGTGAATTTTAATGTGAATTAAAATGAGACAAATGAAAATGACAATCTGTCATAAATATACTAGTGATAACACTGAATTGTATTTATATATAACTTAAACTTTATTTTTATTCTTAATTTTTTTTTATTATATTAAAGTAATTTTTTTTTATATTAAAAAATTATCGACTGTACAAATTCCACCGCAAAAAATTATCTACATCACTCAAACTCTACCCTACGTAAAAACGAACGTCACTTGGATTTTGAATGATTATTGTTGCGAGCAATAAGGATGAGATCATTTTAGCCAAATCATTCCAACATCTCATGCTACTTAATCCATGCAAGCTCTAAGCAAAAAAAAGATTAAATAAAAAAAGTAGATACGGCGCAAAGACTCCGACGTTCGAACTACCGTTGCGCAGATGCGCAGAAATCGAGAAGTAGAAGAATGTACTCGTTTATTCATCGATACATTGATATAATCTCGAACATAAATTACGCGAGACGATATAAATCGCGTAAGATCCACGACGGATAAAGGATTCCTTCATAACTTCTGTCCTCTCGACTCACGCTGCTACGTCGTTAATATATTTCTCTCTCTCTCTCTCTCTCTTTCTAACGTTAGATAATCTCTATTCTATAGTCCTATTCTATGTGAGAAGGGTTGGTGAAGGGCTTGCGAAACATATCAAATGAAACGAATATGTATAAGGCTAGACTTCATGACATATATTAAAAATTTCAATAGAAGAAAGTTGAATATAAAATATTTTATAGAGTAAATTAAACAAAATCAGATACATTCTAAAGAATAAGGTAAACTTAAAATTAAATAACATTAATAAAGTGGAGGACAATCTGTAAAATTTTATTAACTGTCTGTAATAAAAAAATATACTTGCTATAAATAATAACATTAAATTTAAAAAAAAAATAATAAGTGATTTATAACTAAATAGAAAATATGTCGTAACCAGAAGTTTAGCCAAAACGAAATTTTATTGGAATAGGTATTAAAAAAATTAACTAAATGACAGTGGCGTAATTACGTTAATACAGTAGCAATCAAATAACTATTATGACACACACATAAATAATATATATAAAATAAATAATTAAAATATTGTATTATGTACAAAGAGTTATTATAATAAATTTTATGCCGTAAATGAAAATCAAATTGCTTTATAATTAAAACGTTTGTATGCAAAAGCATATAATTTTATTTTTTTTATCGAAATAAAATATGTATCATATATAGTAAAAAATATGTAGTAAAATTGAAAATATATTAAAAGTTACACAGTTCAAACTTAAAGGTATCTTCGCATTTTTGCATTTAACAATAACCTTTTAAGAGAATAAAACAGATGATTTGGAATAAGACTTGAATTATATAATTTATGTCAAAGTCTTACATATTAGAAAATCTTTGATTGCTTTCTGTGATAAACTAGTTACTCCACCGTGTAAACAAAAAAGTAAAATAATGGGAATACATAAATCATTTTCTCTGCTAGAGAAAAATAAAATCGGGTCGGTTCCGTGTTTCCGGGCCCATGCACCAAACCCATCCGTACTTACAACGCGCCCTTACAAAGGTATCCCTACACAGTTTCTCTAATTTTTTCAATCGCATCTGCACCCAGAATTAAATATTCACGGGCCGAAGCGTACAATTTGGCCGGTTTATGCCGCATAAAATCGCATCCGCGATGAAGCAGGAAGTAGAAACGGCCGCACAATGACAGGTATGTCCCGCGCTCGGGTCTTCTTAACTCGATTGTTTCATGTTGGTCTCTTGGTTACCGCGACCAAGTTGCTAGTTGCGTTTTCGGATGACTCCCGTGGCAGCCACCGCCTCCACTTTTACACGTAAACAAAGAGAACATCGGAGTCAGAGCTCGTTGCTGATGACAACAAAGCCAATAATATGTGCGTGCCCTCGCGACACTTTCGTGGCTAAAATTTTTTCTTATTGTTGCAACCAACGACAGTACGGTGTAAAAAGTTTAAAATTATGTTTATAAAGGAAAAAAATAAAAAGGAAATATAAAAAAGAATTAAAGGGTAAAAATTTTGTTCGGGTATTGGCTTTTGTCTCGCAAAAGTAAGATCGCGCAAGCGCAATCATGTAATATCTTTGTCATTAATTTAGCATTTGAAAACGTAATTAAAAAAAAATTTTTTATATTCTTAATTTATATAAAATAAAATTTATGTAAATAATCAAAGAATAAATTAAATTTTAAATATTCGAAAGAATCAACAGATTTTATCATATTTAAATTAAATTAAATTTTGATATATATTGAAAAATCATTAAAAAATTGCACTTTCTCTCTCTTTTTTAAATATTTTAATTGGACTTGATATTAATAAAGAAATCCACTCGTGATCGCTGATAAATAGCGTAATGTGCACGAAGTAAGTTGCAATTAAATAAAGTAAGCGTATTTAATGATTAAATACATCAAGTATATGAGAAAGGAAAGTTTCTGCTGATTATATAAAAAGAATTGGGGAAGCGATTACACAAATAAAAACGAAATGTATAATTTTATTCGCACTAACGGAAAAGAAACGCGCCTCGGTCTTACTGCGCTGGGTACAAGTTCATATCGACCTGTACGTTTGATCCGTACATTGCGGCTGAAAAGAAATATAACGTCAAGGATAAGATGATATTTTGATTTGATGATAAACAATTATTCGAATGATGCAGAGACACTTTTAGTCAACAACATTGCCTCGTCGACGGATGTGTAAAATAGAATGCGGAGTTATAGAAGACTACTAGATCATATCTTAATTATAATAATAGATCGTTAGAGATCATGAATTAGTACCTACGTAATTATATATAAATTATAAATAAAATTAGACGTATTGTCAAAATAAATACCTACATAAAAAATTATGCATTATTGTAATTATGAAACAATGAGCAAGTGCATTTATAGTGCACCGAATTTAAATTGCATTATAACGAATAAACATTAATCTTATATAATTAAAAAAATTTATGTCATATAAAAATAATGCTGATAAAAATATTACATAACGTTTTGGAATTATTAGAAATATATACTAAATGGAAAATATAAAAAGTTGATATAAATCGTGCAAGAAATTGCTATATTTTATGTATACAAGTTTAACGTCATGCTACAATAAAATAATAGATATTCATAAATGTATATAACATCAGTTATAAATATTAATAGATGCATAGATCTCATAATAGTCAGATTATATTAACTTGCATTAATTGTTTCTAAATTGCGTTTTTAAAAAGTAATCTATTTTCTAAATTATTCTAAAATGATTTCATGCGACGACAATGTGCACAATTAGCAAGCTATGCTAAATGAAGGAATACAAAAAATAAGAAATACGAGAATGCAAAAATATGCTTATGAAAAATATTGGATTACCTCTTCGATGATAGTAAGTTTCATGAGAGGCACCTAAGAGGATAAGAATGGATTGTTAGTGACAAAATTGAATCTCAGATTACTGAGAGAACTAGAAAGCGGGAGTGAAGGTCAGGATTTTGAAAAAAGCAATTTTGAGATACGTGAAACAAATGATTGAATTATGCTATATTAATCCACAGAACACAAACTAATAGTAAAATGACGTCAATATTATTATATAATTTCCAATTCAACAATACAAATAATATAACACATGTTGTATATATAGCAGTTACATTGTTGAATAGAAAATTATAAGGATATCTTCCATGTAGTGATACAAGTCGATATAAGTATCGTTCCGTCTTTGTTACTCATGGAATACAAAGAAAGATAGAACGACATTTGTGTCGACTTATGTCACTAAATGGAAGATATTCTAAACTACTAGTTTGTGTTCTGCGAAAAATATTATGAGATACTAATGTGAGGGGCGCGTTAACAATATCTCTTAAAATTATTTTCCCGAGGTACCATGATCAAAAATTTTTCTCGAAGCCAATTTCGACCTTTAGTTAATTTTAAGTATTGCTATATATGTTCGTAGACAAGTCTGACAGTGCCAAAGATATCAACGTACGTATTACGCGTTGATTTACGTCAATACGACGATGTTGCTGCCAGAAATGGCAGATCCATTGTAAATCACCGTCGGTTTTACATTAACTCCCAGTGATATTTTGGTTTCCACAAAATCATCGTCGAATGATCGAAGTATTGGCTATATTTTACTATTTGAAATCTTTTTGTTGTCTTGAATTCCATTATTATTCATGTCAGACAAAAATATGACCAATTTAGAATTTTCTGTATTTGGAATGATTTTCTTGAGTTTAAAATATGGGAGAAGAAAAATTTTGCTGAAATATTAAAAAACTTAACTCTAGAATAATTTTGTTTGAATCATCAAAATAATTATGTAGAAAACTCAAATATAATGAGCTACAAGAAATTTTGATATTCTAACAACTTGCTTAAACGTTTTACATAATTAGTTTAACAAAATTATTTTCAAATCTGTATTTCTCTATACATATCTCTCAAAAATTTTAGATATAATACTTCAACAAAACCATTCTTTCTGTGAATCTCTTGACTTGCAAATCTATGAATCTTTAAACATTTAAATATATAATGAATGGCCTTCAATTTATCAAAACAATTGTGATACCTGATGGCACACGTTGAGGATACGTATCCGTTGATACATCAGGTGCTGTCACGGCGCGAGGTATCGTGGAAATATCTGGAGGATGCGTCGCCCTCCAGTAAGTTTCAAGATACTCGGCGACATGTTCGCACGCATCCTCTAATTGATTTTCGTCTAGGACAACATCGAACATCTCCACCGGACACTGTGCTAGCTTTTCGGCAGCCACCATTTGTACATTAAGATGACGTATCTGGGATTTTCCTCGAGTCTTGATCAATCTTTGCAGAACTTTTGGTGAAGAAATCTTTAGGTAAACGACTGTGGGTGCTAAGCTAGTCTTCATCAACTGCGACGGATGATTTATTGTGTCGCAATCCAATACGACTAGCTAGAATTGCATATTAGTGTGCGATTAATTTATTTGACATAAATTAATTTGTTGCGTTTAAATTATTTATAGAGAAATAATTTATAGTATTAAAATAAGTATTTAGTTTAATTTAAATAAAAAGTGTTAAAAGGTTTGTTTTAGAATATTTTATTTACAAACCTGTAGCGTTCTGGCAAGTTCAAAAATTCTTTCGATCTCTTGTTGAACTTCTGCTAAACAACTGCTCCTGCTGGACGTCCGCTCCATGATCGCTCTTTTAGTTGGATTGTTCAGCAAGGATCTTTTTGCTAACGATATATCCGCCATTACTCGTGTGATAATGATTCTGTAATGATAAATAACTTTTAATGAGATTAATAACATATAATTAATAAAATACGTAATTCGATTTCTTCTATTTAACAAAAAAAGGCAAATTAGAACTGATAAGAATCAACACTATAATTGTTAATATTAATTTTTTAATATATTTTAGCTGTTATGTCTTATTTAATGTGAGCATATTGTGACGGTAATACCTTGTGTATAATTCGAATCAGATTTAATTATGTACAGGTACACATAAAAAGAATGAATAGCAACGTTTCTTTATCCTTGCTAGTATGAGAAAACCTTGTAATTAAGACTAATATAACTGCTCGTTTTTTTTTTATTAGCAATAAGAAAAGGTTAGACTTAAGATTAGACGTAGGATTAAGGCAATATATAAGTCCCGACAGACCTTCCCTCGAAACGATGTTTAAGAAAATCGAAGAGTGCCTTCTGCATCATATCCGTCACTTGGTAACCTTTGAGCGATGGTCCTACCAGCACTACGGGCCTCATGGAAGGTACTACATCATAAGGGGTTGTCGTCTCCTGAAAATTGGAGCAAATAATTAATTCGGTCAATCGAGATGAGGCGCATTCGCCGGTATCGACCCCAGGTAGTCTCACTTACGTAGGACTGCGTGAGCACGGTATGCAATATTGAAACATTGAAATCAGTTAATGGCCACGTCGACTTGACACATGCGACCTCCTGCACGGCCAAAGTCCTTCTCTGAACGTGCGAACGCCAACGAGACATCCTCTTCAAGCACCGAAGGTACTTTGGCCAAGCAGCATGTTAGTAACTATGATATCTAGCTAAAGAATTAACAGCCTCTTACGAACTATAATTGGTTCGGCTATATTCTACCTTATGGTGAACGATTTTCATCACGCGACTCCAGTTATAGGCATAATCTCTGACCAAACATGTATTGCAGTGACGGCAAAAAAGTGATCGACAGTGTGTTAATAGAAAAATATTTACCAGTCATTTCTTATTATTGACTATACATTCAATATTTCGTACAATATATATAATACTTTTGTTACAAAAAGTTTTGTACCATTTAAAATAAGAAACTTTTACAAACTGTGTGTTTGTGGAATCATGAAAATTTTGATAAAAAATATTTATTTTCCTTTGATAAGTTAATAATAATTTTACAGAAAAATAAATTATTCAGCTAAATCATTAAAGCAAGCATAAACAATTTTTCATTAAAATATAAAAGAATACATCGAAAAAAAATGTTTTAAATGGTATCACATTTTATATATTTTTCTCCAAAAAAAAATATAAAATTTGCTTTAATAAAGTTTATCTATGTCAATTCTTAATTATGATATTTGGAAAGCATATATTGTCAATTTACATACAGTCAGTGGCAAAAAAGCCAGTGTTACGCAAAAGAGAAGTGTCCGAAGAATGGATTGATAGTGCATAATTATTTAAAAAGGTAGCAATAAAATGCATTGTAGACTACGTTTTAATATTAGTAATAATTAATTAAATCCGTTTATGTACATAGTTAATAAGTTATAAATTTATATTGCTAATTTAAGTTTATCAATAGTTAGTAATATTGAGTTTACTTGGATTATTTTAAGGATATAAAATTTTAAGTTACCTCTAATGTAAAAGTTAATTTTATTTTTAAAAAATGTACTTAAATTAATTTATTGTTATCTTGAGCTTTAAAAGATAGTCTTTAGCTAAACGTCATTCGTTCAAAAGCTTCTGACTGGATGGACGAGTTGAAAATAACTCTTCTAACAACTGAGCATAAAGAATAGAGATTACAATGGACAAAGGAAAATATCGACCGTGATTTTTTCAATATCATTTATTCCGATGAAGCTTTCTTTTGGACATGGATTTATTCCACGCGTGGTCGGTACGCAGACTATTTCTCCAACGCACGGTTAAACATTTTTTTTTAAATTTATATATAGGATTGTCTTTGTGAACAAAATTTCAGTCTTTATAAAAAATCTCGACTTTGACGTTCCAATCAAATGTTGCAATATATAAAAAAAATTACACAGAACTAACATATGTCAGGGATATAAAGAATAATTATTAAATTCTATAAAAAAGGATTTGATTGAGATATATAATTGCAACTGGATATTGAAAGAAGAAAATAATGCAAAATGTCAAATCTGTTTGTGCACGCAGTGCAAACGTGAAAATTATTGTCCTTCTCAATCTTCAGGCACAAATCTGGTTGAAAATATAGTCAATTATGAAAATGAAGCTTCGAGAAAAACAAATATATTTAATCCAAAGCAGTTATTTTGGCAAGATTTAGAGGTTCTTACCCAAGACTCTGGTTGAAAATCTCGTGGAAAGCATGTCTCGATGCTGTAAAACTACAACCAATAACAATGGTTTTGATTGGGTGTCATAAGTAAATGCATTTTAGTGCATGTAATGTGCATTTAAAATATAATTTTAATTTCTAATATATACTTGATTTCTTTTAGAGAACTGCTAATGACGCTCTTGTACCACTGACTGTGTATCTATATGAGCAAAAGAATTGTGTTAACCTAAGAACTTGAAATTTAAAATCGACTGGTAAATTTTAATATTTTAGACAATGTCCATATGAATTATTGACTCACTAATGACTTTAACAAAATATCTGAACGTTTTGTGTTATGATAAATTTTATTTCTCTTATTTTTTTAATTTAAAAATTTTTGCTAATAAAATATTTTATTTATATGTTATAAAATAGTACTACTAGGAAAATTGCTTTGACATGGACAAAGCCTAACGTCGCAAGATTATATGTTAGATAGAAACATTAAATAGAATTGCCTGTACGTCTAACTAGCGTGAGAGGAATGCATCATGCTATTGTACAGAGCTATTTTCTGCATCGTAAGAAAGAGTATTAAATAAACCGTGGGCAATAATCAATACCAAAACGAACAATTCTAGAATTATCAGACGTCTTTTAACATCTCAGTATGACAGCTATTATTACGCATGACGTCATTGAGCATCACGCCAGTTCAGTAAGCGTACAGTGTCTACTAATCTAAACGTAGAAGTTGAAAAAAGTGTTAAAGCTGTGCGTGATGCGTTAGATATTCGCGATAGCGTAGCACGCCGAACGTTTACCGGCTTCTTGAAGAAGTTCTTTCGCTTCTCCTTAGCGGGTGGGGTTGTCAGGGTAGACTTGCCAGGTCGTACGTTTCCGACACTGTCGCTGTCATCACCTATCGAAAGAATAAGGGATTACTCGAAATCTCATCGTTATCTCATGATCAATGAGTCCCTCTTTCTCTCAAAGAAGCTATGAAGAAGCACTCAACTGATGGGATGCAGTCTAGACATAATTCACTAATTTATGCTTGTGTATCTGCTTATAGCAGCAGCTATCAAAGATGAGCAGCTAGCTACAGCAGTACTAAGAATCGCGCGCGCGCGTGTGTGTATGTGTGTGTGTGATGAGTTGCACGAATACGGTGACTTACCCGATGACTTTAGCAATGAAATGAACACTAATAGGGCGTGTAAAGCGAGAGCACAGTGAGCAATCTGTTGTCGCGAGAGAGCAGAAATGAAGAAGCTTATACTTTTGTATAAATCGCAAAGAATAAAAAAAGATTCTGATATACTGCTTTGATGTTAGTCTATTATAGTAACATTATGTTCTATCAAATGTTTCATAATATTAAATGTTATTATTTGCGTACACGTAATTTTATTCATTTGCGAATTATACAGAAGTTGCTTCGATTTAACGTTATCGATATAAGCACTCGAAGCTGGTGTTTGTATGTCTCAAATAGTGGGATACTTAGGATCTCAAGCGAGTGTTATTCGTCACAATTTTTTTTGTTTCGACCGGCCTGTGGCAACAATCCGTCCGCCTGTAATTTCACTGTCGAGGATCAAGCTGAGAAAGTTCCCGATCTGGTATACCGAATTGGGTACACCTTAAATTTTGGGGGGGAAAGAAAGAAGGACGTGCTAGGATACCTGGCGTAGGTGGTGTGGAACCACGTGAGGGCATACCACTCTCGCCTAGGTTCCCTGAAGACCCTCCTCGCGTCGAGTAGAGTCCTTTCGTACCACGCGCGGCGGTCGCCTGCAATCTTAAGGCCTCTAGCTTCACAGGTGATGGGATGAATCCCACATCGCAATGTTCTTTCACGAGCCTACCAATCCACCAGTTATTATCGTACTTCTCCTAAAAAAAAAGGTCTCAATAGTAAAGAAAAATTTTTAATTATACGATACAAGGGAAATCCATAGAGGATATGTATGTATGATCGTACCTTAATGTGAAGAAAGTCACGAACGTTAAAGCTGACGGCTGATCCATGCACAGGTGAGTCATCGTCGACGGATCCATCGTAGCTCACGTTAGTCCGCACTGCAAATGCTACTGGCTTCGACTGAAACGTAAATTGAAAAGTAGAAATGAGAACGCGTGTTAAGTCAATCACACAGTATACTTCAATTTATGGTGACCAATGTTAACATTTTTATTTTTGCCAGTTATCAATGCAACAGTGCAATAAAAATATAATAAAATACTTAATGCTTAAATAAACTAATTTTAATAAAATGTTACTTATATAAAAAATAAATATGCAAAAAAAATATATTTGTTTTATATAATTGTTCTGCGATCATTTTGTCCCGAGAAGAATAAATCGGATCATTAATCTCCACGACAAATGTGCGGTATCGTCTCGTACCACCGCGCTTAGTTACGTATCATCGTTCCCTTGCCCGTGTTATCGACTTTTCTATCAGGTCACGGTGCGACTCCTATATCGCGACGTGTACATAAACACGTATAACTATATCGTATGTATAGAATGGAAAATAAAAGCCGGCCACACCGATGAGCTTCACGGCCGATCGACACATTGTCAGCTTATGCGTGGACGCATTTTCCTAGTGACAACATCGTCCCTTCAATAAAGAATAAAAGAGTATTGCAGAGCTTCTCATTTTTATTGCGACGAGCTCTATCCTTCGAAGGTCGTCTCCCGCCAATCAATATCCATTTACCATTAAGCCGAAGAAAACTGAGTCGATCAGGTTCTCGCATTTGACGTTCATACTATTTCATAATTTCAGAACTGTGTTTGTCATTCGAGCTTACAATTTATCGTTATAATTCACTACAAATGGAAAATTTCGTAATTTAATTCTTTATTCAAATATTTACAAATTTAACCCTCCGTCTACACAATCGTATCTTTACTCCCTCTGTCTAACTCCAATTTTTCTACTGTTCTACATTTTCAAAAAAATATGGAAAAATTTAGAGTTACTTTTTAATGATGTTATCGAATAATTTAAAGATATTAATACTTTTCTAAAAAATTTGAGAGTATAATTTCGCTTATGTCAAAATAGATTCAGATTTCAAATGAAGAGTCAAAACATACAATGTACTATTGTAATATAAAAAAGAAAAAAAGAAATACATTATTCAGCAAATGCTAACTAATAATAACATAATTGTTAATTTATAATTTTCTATAACAATATAACTATATAATAATATAACAGTTACACAAAAGAAAATAATTTTGCTAAATCATTTAAACATATAGCGAGATAAAGATTTAAAAATAATTTTATTCGACTTTTTCAAAATAATTATGTAGGATACTCGAACTGATTGCTAGATTATCTCGTAGAATATAAAAATTTTTACATTCCTCAGCGTCATACTTGAAGTTTCTATATAATTATTCTGATGATCTAGCAAAATTATTTTCAAATCTGTGTGTGTGTATCTAATTAAATTTTTAAATACTTCAGCAAAATCATTTTCTTTATGTATACAGAGATAAAAAAAAATTTATAAATAAAATTCAATTTTAATGAAATAAGATGATGAATGAAATAAGTCAATATTTCGAAAAATTTCTCGCGTATGTTTCTCGTAAAACACATCTTGATATGTGAGTGCTGACATTATTATCGCATTTAAGTATTACTGCCGCGTTAAAGCCGTAACATTCATACAGATCGTATTTTTCCATCAATTTATTTTCATGGCTTGGACGAGCGCGAGAAGAAGTTCAATGGAATGTCCAATTGGCATCTCGCCGAGTTTTGCTTCTTTTTTTCGCATTTCATCTTAAAATTGTAGACGCATCCAGTTAGATGTTTAATATCACGCTAAAGAAATATGATAATGCGGCGATAATGAAACACCTATTCGATCGATAACGTGATCCAGCACGGACGAAAAAATAAGAATAACATAGAACTGTGAGAGTGGAACAAACTGAAGTATACGAAAGATCAATGACTTACTCTGGCTTTTTCAAGTTGATTGAGGGCCTGCCTCTCCTTCTCGCGTCGCAAACTCTCTTTCTCCTCGTCCAGCGAAAGATCCGAGCTCGGCTGGGAGTAGTTTGAGTCCGCCGAGCCCTGAGAGAAATCAAACAAGTCATCTATTAAATCCGTGAACTATCATACGTAGCAAAAAATTTGAGTAAACTTAAACAAATATGTTTTTTTACTTATAGACATTAAAAATTTTTATTTAACATTTGTGATGAATTAATAATCTTTTGCAACATATATAATGGTCTTACAATTAGATATTGTTAAAACCTATAACTTTTATATATATAATATACAAAATCTCAAAAATCTATAAATTAGATAATTTTTTGTTTTGAAGGAAATTTTTGATTTTATTTTAGCACCAAAATTAATGTGATATATTAATTTATTTCTTTATCATAAAATATGTAACATTTTGAACAAATAATGTAACTATTCAATTAAATATTCACTAAGTACACACATGTTTCTAAAAAATATTACAATTTAGAATCACCCACCAGTAAACCTTTTTCAAATTTTATACATGTACCATACATTAAAACGTAATGTCTAGAAATATTTTTTATGTACGTCATCTTCTAAACTGAATATTTCAAGGCAAGACTTTCATCCTTTGAAAATAGCTTACTTAAATAACATTTATTTACTATGTGTAATACAACGTCAAGTGTGACTTTGTCCGAGAGACCGTGAATGATAAAGCCCTATGACGCAGTTAATTACGTCTATTATGCCCTACAAGTATCGACGCAAATTACTTTGTAACAAAGGAAATCAGTCTAGCAAGTTAATTAGTTCCTGTTAAGATTAAATGAATCGATTGAGCATAGGAAGCAAGACTTACGCAAGCTCAATGTTCGACATAAGTAAGAAATTGAGAACCAGCGCAAGCTTCGATTTACATATTAATTAGAGAAGTCAATGACTGTATTAAGTATTTATTAAATATTTTGATTAATTTTTTTGATTAAGTTTTTTATGTTTGTTATTATAGATTTGTTTGTATTGTATGTTTGTTATTGTAGATTTATCTCTTCAGCTCCTCTATTAAGAAACAAAATTATAGTTTTTTAATATATTTCTTATATTAATTCCTTTTACATGAAATTACTTTTACGTTAACAATAATTATTATTTCATAGCAGTGCAGATAAAATAGCAGTGGATATGTGCAATAATTGGTAATTTTTATTTAATGTTAACGGGACTTTTCTTTTTACAAAAGCACGTATCTTTCTAAATAGAAAAAAAGCATGATAAAACAAAGATTTTACTCATACATCGAAATAATTTTTTTTATTTCCTAATTTAATTATATTTAGGATTGTACTAAAAATTGTGTTATATTATGATAATTAATCTTTTAATTGTTTCATTAATTTTTACTTAATCATTTGATTAATTTTACATAATTAGCTTACAGTAATAAGTTACTTCTACAGCTTAAGATATCATTACTTCCATAAGACTTTTCTTATCTTAAAAAAGCTTTTCGATTAATGAACTTACTCGGTTGACATGTCGTAGCTATGCCAACGACCTTCCATGTTCTACCTTTATAAATATTTAAATACATACGTATATAAATATATCTGTACAAAAAGATAGAGCATTTCAATATTTGTACAACAATAATAAGATACAACTTTTGATAATAACGTAGGTTGATATGAAATATACATATAATAATATTCTAAAAAAGATATTTAAAATTATATAGGACAGTTATTCTTAACAAAAAGTGTCTTTCTAGAACATTATGATATATATATCTTATCTTTCTCAAAATTCTCTTAATGTGGAGATTGCATTTAGCTCGAAATAATTAATAAACACGTCTGTATTTATACATTTATAAAGTCATTACGGAAAAGAGATTATGCATATTGCATATATACTTATTGTATTATATATGTATATATTCTTATGACTCTTTTAACATTTGAATAATCGCATCAATAATCTTGACGCCTACCTGATGTTTTATTGTGAAAACCTTGTTTCTAATATTGCTACATTTTTAATTAAAAAATTCAGTTGCAAAAAGCATCCGCAATTATTCGACGTCATTACACAAGAAAATAAGAAATATCATATTTGTAGCTGCTCATATATGTATACTTTAAAGATTAAAGTTGAATCGGTTTACTAAGCAGTTAAAATAATCATATACTGAGTTTATATATTCCATCATTTAAATCATCTGTTAAAAAAAAAAACATCTAAGAAAGTAGTTATTGATAGTGCTAAAGTTAATATAAAATTAACAGCTATTTCAAATATCAATTAATATTATAATGCCAGTAAAAATTTGATGCAAATCAAATTTGGCAATAATTATGTAGAAACTTCTTCTCAATTGTAAATAAATTACAAATTTTAGATTGTTAATGTCAATGTAAAAAACGAAGGCCTCTTTGCAGAATCCAATTAGTAAAACTCGAAAGACACTTCGAAAGATGTATTGCGAATAAAAGAAGTGCACCAAGGATAACGATTAACTCCAAGGCCAGTAAAGCATACCACCGATCCGCAAAGCTTGATTTTACAGTAAAAAAGGAAAGTAAATCTCGATCGAGCGTGCGATCGGTGTAAATCGCTGCGCTGCAACGATAGTACGGATGATCGCTTCTGCTTTACGCCACATTGCCTAATACGAGCCTTGAACGATATATATATTGCGAAATATCCTATATGTCTAGGAAGCAACGCGTCTTTGACGCGTTTAAACACTCATCCTCGTGCGCCTCCTTGCTCAAAGTATGGTCACCATAATCGGTTATTTTTATATGAAGACCTTCCTGACTTTATGAAATCCCTTGATAAGTTTAAGTTTAATTACAGTTATCCCTTTGATGGGAGAAAATAAAAAGATAAGTACTATTATTCCATAAACATGTTTCTATTTATTATAGCCTTGCGAAAAGTGATAGGTGAGGGAGATGGAAAGAAAAAGAATAATAAACCAAAAGCGTAAGAGAATAACACTTACAAGAAAAATAAAATCAAAACAATTTTACTTCTATAATCATCGTTTCCTTTTGTGAATTAACTAACGAATATATAGGAGAGACTGACGCAGTGCCAAACATTTTAACAGATGCAGCAATGCCAAAGTTTGCACATTAATCTAGATATTTTCAAGTTTACTAACATTAATATATGTATATGCAAACAAGTAATAAATTGTTCTTAATACCCCTCCTTCTTTTTGCTCAACAACAAATTATTAAAATTCCCGTTTGTCAGTATACCTGAGTAAATAGCTTGTTGTAGCCGGAATTGTGTTGATTGTACCCGATCATCGCCGGGATTCACCACCATGGACGCCAGAGTTGTTCTTCTGATAGTGCTTAATTCGTCCCAATTTGCAAATTTATCCGGCTATTGCTTTAAGCTCTCACTTAGTCCACGCTACCGCATGGCTACTTTTATTCTCTCATCAAAATTAGTCTTTATTACACTGATATTTCACGCCGCTACGCCATATTGAATGGCGCAGTGGCACAAAGTTTCGGAGCTTCCCTCAGACACGTCGTATCTTAAGCTTTTTTCGCTTTCGTTTGCAAGCCATCCAAATACTTAATCTTGAATCTTAATCTACTTGTGAAAGATCGATATTATCATCCCATGATGGTAAGTTATAGTGCGTTTTACGTTCATAACGAACAATAAATGGTTAAATTTGAAGTATTCACTTTTCTAATAGCCCTCTGCAAGATAAAGTATAAATGGACTGTAAAAAATTGCCTAATGAAAAGCAATAATAAAGGAAACAAGAAATATAAACGTAGATAAATTATAATGGACGAATGCAGGCGTAATTTAATAAGATAATCCAGTTATCATGAAGAATTATCAGTTATAATTGTAAGTATTACATGTATATATATATATATATATATATATAATTATTATTATTATTATTATGTGCGTATATAATAAAAATAACAAAAAATATCTTTCGACGGAAGCTTTCTAACAAAGAAATTTAAAGATTCTATTTTCTAGGAGTTTCTAGGGGGACTAAATTTGATTTTGGCCTCAAAATTCTAAAATTTAAATTTTAAAATAATCTGATTATCTTACAATTCTGAAAAGTTTTTAGGATATTTTGGTCGAGTGAAATTGAACTGAAATTGTTGAATTTCAAACGAATAATATAACTCCGATGAAAAAAAGATCTAATATTACAGGATTATAATCAAAATTTGGAAGTCAGTTTGAAAATCAGTATAAACTATTTGTATAATATAAATGAGTTTCAAATAAAGTATAATTGAAAATTTAATATTATTTTGCAATTAAAAATTCCTTAAAATATGTTTTATAATAATCAGATAATCTTTTTGAAAAATTTTGTTCGTTTTATTGGATTCATTATTTAAAATTTTTATTTTTGACGTAACATTTAAATAAAGCATCAAATTATTTTATAGATTAAATTTTATAAAAAAATTGAACGACAAAATGAAAAAGAGTGACCCTAAATGGGGTCACTCATCTACAAAAGGTTAAAGCCTTTATTTGGAAAAAAAAAATTTTATAAATAGAACATAGTTTATAACTTTGAGAATATTTAATATATATATATATATAAAGTCTTGCAAAAATTTATAATTTGTAATTTACATATTATATAAATAAATATGTATATAAAACATTTAATTGTTCTTTAAAAAGATATTGAAATTTACTTTAAAAATTGTTTTCCAGATAAAAGCTAACATTTAAATTTAGCACAATATTGACTTCCAGGTCCTATATATTGCAACGTGCTGTCATATAAAAATTTATCGTACAATATTCTAAAATTAGGCAAGAAAGAACAAAATCGAACCATTGACTAAATCTACCCCTGTTCTGCAATTGACCTGGCCAAATTTATTTGTGAAGAAAGCTTGGAAGAATTACGAAGAAATTAATGCCACTCCCTAAAATTGTCTGCCCCATATTGTCGAAAATATACATGTAGCACGAAGCATCAGTAAATTATAAAGCAACGAGATATGAGATAGAAGATAAAAAAATCTCTTATATTAAGTTAATGATAATGAATAATAAGTTGTATTATTTTC